TTTGGTGAAGCAAGAAAAATAGCTTACCATTTCGACATAGGAAATCTTTATATTAGAAACAAAACGATAAAAGGAAAAGAAAGTAAAAAAAAATAAGCTTATAGGATTTAGATGAATTGAAATAGACAAAATGTGCAGGCATCAATGTTTGTGATGTAACAAACAAACAAACAAATGAACAAACGGTTGAATGGTGAACGACAAAAGAACATTGGAGCAGATTTCGATCCATTCAAGCATTATAACATTTTCCCCAACGACGACACTTTGGGATTTCTTTTTTTACATTGATTTGGATTTTCAGATTTTGGAATTGGAATTTGAATTTAATGTTAAGTATAAGATTGTGATTGGAAATTGGTTATCCTCCCTAAGGGACATTTGTTTACCAATATGAATATGATCCAATCAATGATACAACATTTCCTAAGGGTAATTTAAATCGATCATTTGATGACCATATCATATCATGTCATGTCATGTCAATCAATGATGATGAGAATGATAGGATAGTGATAGTGATGAAACGTTATATTGCATATATGTTTGAACCAAGTCATAAAATGTTTGTTTTTGTTTTCATTGAAAAGAGTATGACAAGATTTACGAGAAAAAAAAGAGAGACATTTCTTCAATTTTTTTTATGGCCATCCAGACGAATCATAGATCGAACTACTTTTAGCTTGAATCGATTCGTTGTTTGAATGAATAAAATGAAATGGTCGTAAAACGTCATTTTGGGGTGATTTGCATTGCTTGTTTTATGATGTTGTGTCTGGCCGAGCAGAGAATTGTTGACAGGTTACCACCTCGTTTATGAGATGCCATTGTCATCTCTTTCTTTTTTTTTCCTTCATACGATTTGAATGTAATGGGTAATGTTTTGGATGTTTTTGAAAATTTTCAAATTCTCATGTCGAATCGAACGAGCTAATCGTTTTGTGAAATGTTAATCTTTATGTTATCGGTGATGATGGCCATCTGGCTTCTGGATTTGCCATCCTTTGCTTGTTTTTTTTTCACAACGATCATCATTAAAATTTTACGACAACATCGTATGATGATGCTATCAATAAAATTGTCCTTATCTTTCTTTTTCTATTTTTTTTCTGTTGAATGTTGGATACATAATTATCCTTTTTGATTAGCATAAATGAATGATTACCGGCTATGCAAGTGCATTTTTCAATTCCTCATACACTTGATTGAGTGATGAAACAAAATTCGATGCGGTAATAAAAATTTCAAGTTTTCAACGAGATGAATCCAGTATGTGAAAACAAAAAGGAAAACAGAGTTTATTCCTGTGGACCACATTGCATTACCTGGCTATAGCATGGCATTCTTGCGAATCAGCTAACGACATCTATCAGAGAATTGTTGGAATCAATGAGGAATGAATTTTTATTTGTATCAGATAATTATGATTGATGATATAAGAAGCAAAGGTTTTTTGAACTGGGCAGTTTGCAGTATACGGCAATTGATATGAAAATTCATAATGGCTATTTTCAAACTTTTTTTTCAGAAAAGAAAAAACATCCCATTGGAATCGATAACGATTGAAAAGTTTGCTTCTAATTTGCTGCTTTTTGTTTTGTTTGACACGTGGCTTTGCATTGATTGATTTGAAAAAGAATTTCATTTGGGTGTTTTTTGTTTTTGTTTTGTTTTTTTGTTTTTGCTCAACAACATAAGGTAATAAGGATTTTTTTCTTTTTTTTTTCATAATCAAGTGAATTCATAAAATAAAATTGAATCCTTAGTGTTCCGTGTAAATAAAAACTAAAACATTTCAGAATTACGAAGAATTCTGAAGATGAATTCTGGCCCAATTCTGCTTCAGGGATTTGGATTTTGAACGAAGAAATTAATTATTTGAATGTAAACACACAGTGAATGAAAGTAAAGTTTTGAAACACCATTTCACTTTTTTCAAAACATTGATGATCCGATGGGATTCATGTTATTTTTTGAATGTAAATTCTTTTTTCACTTTAACATTGTCGAATGTTTTCCGTATAATTAGTTACTGCCGGCATTACTCACTCAGAAATTTCTCAGAAAGTTATTATTAATGATGTACCAACACTTAATGATTATGTGGCTGCCAAAAATAACAAAACAAAATGAAAAAAAAAATGAAACATGAACAAACAAAAATTTCAATGATGATGATGATTATGGCCGCAACAATAACAACAACAATAATCGCATTATCATCATGTTGATTGGACAATGCAATATGTTTTTGAGAAAAAAAATATCCTTTTCCGTCGAACTGGATGGAAATAAAATCCGATTAACCGTTGATGATGGAATTTTAAATTGGTCCAGTCCCCGTTCTCAATGATGAACCAACCGCCAATATTGATGTTATTTTCAATCCATTCGATTAGTGGTTTGATCACGAAGAAAAAATCACTGCTGGTTTTGAAACATTTTTCAACGAATGTCACGTATCAATCATATCGAACCGAACAAACTATGAAAAAGCAAAAAAAAGGCTTTTCAAAATGAATGAATGAACATTGTACTTTTTTTTGGTTTGAATCAAATTTAATTGATGCAATTATTAGATGATTCAGCGGTGCCTGGTTTCAGTTTTCAAAAATTATTATGATAATTTGTTTCTTTTTGCTCATTTGGTTTGTAAATCTTTGTGTATATGTGTGTGTGTGTTGACATGACAATTTGTTTTATATTCACCTGTTGTTGGCTGCTTTTGTCGGATTTACGAATTCTAATTTCAACTATTTAACTGAAGGACACAAAGAATAATTACTGAAAATACATATTTTTTTCGCTGAATGAATGAATGAAGAAGACAGTGATATGGTGGATGATAATTGATGATAATTGGTTTAATGCGAAAAAAAGTGCAATCTTTTTTTTCGATAAATGATGATAATTGGCAGAACCAACTACAAAAAACGATCGATTCGTTTTGATTTATTCTTTACTCTTTAAATCCTAGTAATACAAGAAGCTTATCATTGTGTGTAAGGTCTTAATGTAGATGAATGGAAAAAAAGGAAAAAGAAACATGGAGAGCTAATTACATGAAACGCGATTAAAGTGTAATTATTCTGTGTTGGTGGCGATGCATAACAACAACAACAACAAGATTCACACACCCAGAAACATGAGATGAGTTGTTTTGGTCATCATAATAGTTGTTACATCGAAAAAATTAGCATTTCTATTTCAAGCCGATAATGATGATTTATGACAATGAATGAAGGGATGAATGTTATACCTATATCCTTTATGGTCAAGATGTTTAGATGTAAAATAATGGTGACAACATCGTTCTATCAACGCCATCTGTGTTCGATGTTGTTGTACGAGAATATAGGCTAAAAATTGAGAAATTAAATTCGAATGAATCGATTGCCAGCGGCATGAGTCCGGCTTTCCAAAAATATCAAAAAAAAAAAAACTTGATCTCGTTTGCTGTTCGTAGAGTGTGAATTGAGTGAAAACTTGTCATTGCATTTCGAATTCGTAATTGAAAATATTTTCACATGATTATCATGTATCGTATCGAAGAGATCATCTTGACTGTGAAGAAAAAGAAGAAGAAAAAAATACTTGATAAAGAGAGATAGAGAGATGGACAAGTTACTAATTGAATTAGCGAAAGATGTTTGGATTAGAAATGAGAAAATTTCAGGCAACAAACTTGAACAATTTTTCCCGTTCATGTATCCTGAATAATTGATGTTGGAAACGTTAATATATATCCTGACCATGTCCACAATGATTGGATGATTAATTTTTAATGGTCATTGCAGTACATACACAATGCACTATTGTTTATGAGATATTGTCTCCATAGCAGAACACTATATTCATTTTGATCATGAATGACGATTGTTGAGAAAGGTGATTAAATATTTAACCAGCCTTAACAATAATCGAAAAATTCTAAGGGTTTCCTATTTCAGGCTCAATGATAACATTCTTGCTTTATCATTATTCAGTGTGCAATGTTTGTGTGTGTGTGTTTTTTTTTGGATCGCGCATAAAGCAACGAATCGTGTTTGTCATACGAAATGCGCTGAAAGCGAAAGGAAAGAATAAAAAATAGTATGGTATAGTTTAATAGGTTTGTTGGAGCCAATTAGTCAATTGGTAGTGTGGAATGGAAAAGAATGATAGTCTTTTTTTTCCATAATTATTAATTAACTCTATCTCAATTGGTGTTGGTTTCATAAAGATTATAGAGACATCATAACATTAATCGATTCTGTTGCGTTTGAAATAAATTGTCAATGTCATCAACAGTTTCTTTTATTTCTTGGTTTTTCGATTGAATATTTTAATTAATCGAAAATGGAAGATGGGTTGAAGTGAACAATGTGAAAAAAAGAATGGGCGGAGGTGTGATGCTTGGTTCGTTTGTTTTTTTTTTGTTTAGCAAAAAGAAAAGAATGTTTGGTGGCGCTAACATATAATTATCGCCCGTTACCGAGTGACCGTATCCCTACCATTATAATGGATTATTTCAATTAAGGGTTTGTTGCAATGTTGTCATTATCAACAACAAAAGTATACTCTATCTTTCTTTCTTTTTGAATCGATGTGAAGCAGCTGGCCACGAATTGAAATAGAGAAAAGACTTTAATTGAAACTTGAACACAATCAACAAATTATTCATTCGAAACATGAATGAATGCAAAGAATTTATGTTAATGATCGGTTTTCACCATGATCATCATGCATGGGGAAATCCGTTTTTTTTTCATTCTTAATGATCAACAACAACATTAATGGTTCATCATTATCATCATCATCATCATCCATCTTTTGAGTGTAATGCCCGTTTGGAATCGAAAATTGGTTTCTGAGATTTTTTTTAATGAAAAACTTTGCAACAAGTTCATTTTCAAATAAATCAGTTTTGAAATATTAAATTGATAAATAAAACAAAAAATTAATGTATTATATTGCTAATCTATGTATGTATGTATGTGTGTTGTGTATATGTGAAACATTGCCAGAAACATCAACAAATGAATTAAATTTATCTATATTATGATTGTTAGGAAATTATTTTGAGCAAAAGATGATTGTTTGTGTTTACATGTTGGTGTTAAAAAAAAGACCAGAATTCAAATGACCAGATGAGCAAAATGGTTCTGTTGTGATGATAATATATGTGTGTGTATTTATGTTAGAAGCTCAAGCTTGATTATTGGTCGAATCAATTTCTGAAACCTGAATTTTGGTGTTGGAATAGTGAACTATTGTCCGACTGTCATTTGAATTTTGTTTACCGCTGTCATGATTCTCTTTTTCCTCGTCATTTTCGTGATCATCACTGTCATCGGCATCGGCAACATCATCATCTTTTTCCTCTAGTTCCATCAATTCGAGCATCAAATTGACATATTCAAGTCGTGCTTCCATCAATAATTTCAAATGCTTATACGGATGCTTTTCCAATGGAATTTCAAGACGATATTGACTGGGATTTTGATCCCATACTGCTCTTGGATTCATCATATAGCCAATGTGTTCTTTGAGTTTTTCACCTTCTTCGATTCGTTTGATGATTGCTTCACGACCTAACGATGTCACATATCGATAGTAATCATCATTATCTTTGGTTTCAATTGTTGTACAATTTGTTCGTTCTCCTTTTTCATCACTGTCTTGAGCATTTGTGTCATCAACACCAGTATCGTTTTGCTCATTGTTGATAGTTTTTCGTTTACGTGACGAACTTCGTGTGTTTACCATGATGATTTGTTTGTTTGGCACACCCTGTTTAATTTTGACAAATTATGATATAGATCATTACCGTACTTTAGGAAAACACTTACCGAGAAATGAATTAGTCAAGGCACTTGAGATAATTTCAACAGTTGTCCCAAATATAAATATCTGCAGTAATATTGATCAAATCTCATGTGAACATGCTGGCTCATATTTTTTTTGATTATTGATCCAAAAGATGGCGGTTGTGCTTGACCATACAGTTGAACGGAGACTACTTTCAACATATAAAACATGAACAATTTCGATCCAATGTTGTTTACATTTTCCAAGTTTATGAATTCATCACATTTGTCAGTGAAAGAAATGATGAATGAAGCTTGATGTTGAAAAGAATATCATTTCTGAGTGTCTCAAATGCCTTTATTTCGACGTTCGGTACATCTTTATCTATTGGAACGACATCGTCGTGAAATGACATTATCCGGATTGGATAAATCACGATGGTATCGTTTGTGTTTGAATGACGTTAATGTCGACGATGAATTGTGGAGCAGATTCATGGAATGTCATCTGGATTCGGGCACTCAGCAATTCATCGACCATTGTTATTATCAATCGCAATGTTTTTTTCGTTCCTTATGGATATTGATAATGCGTTCCATATTGAAATTATTTCTATCATCTACATCGATCTGTGGCCTGCTCAACTGTGGTCGAATGTTTGTGTTTAGTGATGAACAAATTGAAAAGTTTTGTTTTAACACACTCGACATGCAATCGATTGATGGTCGTGTAAAACGACAAAACTACGGCACATTATTGGATATTGGTGCTGGTGATGGTAACGTGACGGACAAACTAGCCAGATATTTTCATCGTACCTATGTAACTGAATTGTCACGTACAATGCAAAATCGATTGATTGAACGTGGATTTCATCTGCTCAATGTGGATGAATGGCATAAACACCCCGTTCATTTTGACATGATTAGCTGTTTGAACGTTCTCGATAGGTTTGTTTAAAGCATAATGTTTGCCAAACTAATGTATGAATGATTCGATTTACAGATGTGATAGGCCATTGGAAATGTTGAGCCAGATTCGCCAATGTCTGCAACATTCGGGTGGTCATTTGTTGTTGGCAATCGTGTTACCATTAGTGCAGTATGTAGAGTCGAAACGAAATCATCAACCGGAACAACGTCTACCGGTCGAAGGAACGACATTCGAACAACAGGTGCAATCATTTTTTCACAATGTTCTTGTGCCGGCCGGATTCGAATTAATTTGCTGGACCAAGCTGCCATATCTTTCGGAGGGCAATATTGATCTTACTTATTTTTGGTTGATAGATGCTATTTTTCTGCTCAAACCGGCCACTTGTTATTCACTTTGATAATTTTTTTAATGTTGTCAATTCATTTTATTTTTATTTTTATTTTCGCACACGAAACGTGCTTATTCCAAATTTTTTGATTAAACATGAATGTCTAAATAAACGTGATAGGTATTTAATTTTCAAATTTCAAAGTTTGAAACTGTATTCATTTGATGATTCGATTTGATGATCGACAGATCAGATTTGGTTATGAATATGAAGTATTTGAAATCGATATCCTGTTTTACAGTTTTACTGCTGTCAGCCACTGTAATAACAGCTCAAACAAATTCGAATGATGATACGAATGGAAAGAAAGAAAGTTTTGTCATATTGCATGAACAACAAGATGAAGATGAAGGAATCCTGCGGCGAGAATTCGAACATCTGAAAACCTTTTTGGCAAACAATATGCCCATGGTGAATGTAATTTCCAATTGGATCTCGCCATCATCAAGAAGAATGGTCTTTGATGAATCAGCAGAGAAAGAAAGATCAATGATTGGTCGTTCAGTCATTGATGATACGATGAACGTCATTTACAATCGCCTGATCGATTATGGATTCCATTCGGTGGGCATCAGTGATTCATGTCGAGAGTTGGCCATATGTAATACATCCAATTACGTTCTTACCCAGATGCCTGCCTTTCTCGAAGCCTATGGTCGTGAACGTTTGATGAATTTTCCCACTTCAGTGTTTGGAAATCATGATTATACGAATGCCTGGATTGTTGGTCTAAGTTCAGCAGAACCATCATTTTGTCCGTCATTATTTGCATGCGATAATAATGATCAACCTAGCAGTATATCGGTTACTGAAATGCCTAACATGGCGACCGTAAAGATACCGATTCAGATGAATCAACAGACAGCCTATTATGTTTCGAATGCAAACGAACCGCAGCAACCGAAACCGCCTTTGATGCTTTTGATCGAGGTTATCCAACCCGGTCAAAATAATAGCAAACGGAATTGAATGTCCCAAAATAATTGTACCCTTATCTATGAATAGCTCGAACATTAAAACACGTGACAACAACAATAAATCAAAAAAATTTTAATGATTAAATTGTAATTTGTTCCATTACCATTATCCTAATTTTGAAATGAAGGTTTGTTGTTTTTTGTTGTTGAGATGAATGGGTCTGGGTCAACTTGGAAAATGATTGCGCACTAGAATTGAACTAGATTCTAATATTTCCAATAATGGCGACTACATTGATGCTTAGTCTATATATGTGTATCACTTATGTCGGTTGGATGTTTTTGGCCTTATTTGATTTGGCCCTATGGTCTGGCGCATCGCAAAACTGATTCTGTGTAGTATTAACATATTCTATATATAAATGAATGATTATTGAACCAGACCACAGAATAGATGATATAATTGTGTATTGTGAGTAAGTGAGTGAGTGATTGGTGATTTCCTTGAATTAGATTCAGCGATTGATGATGGCGAATGAAATATGTATTGATTATTGATTTGATAATAATATTCATTATTTATTTTAATCTAGATTAACAAACATAACATAAGCAGATAGAATGAATAGCTAGAGATATTGTGATTCGATTTGTTCATCATTGAATTGCTCAACGACAAATGATTTTTTGTTAAAATTAAAAATTTTTATTCAAAGTGTGATGATTGTTTTGGATAGAAATATATTTTGTTACCATTGTTATTTCGATTGAATCAATAAATTGTGTCGTGTATGGTATGTATTATTATAATGAAAATAATGGTGATATTGACGTGTGTATATTATGGATCAAAAAACAGATTACCGATTGAATCATCATCAATACTCGAAGACTCGACACTGATGGCTCACAAGACATCCACATTCAATGATGCTTTCGAGGATATTAATCTAGCTGAACAAAGGTAAATGAGTTGAATTATCATTGAATATCAAAAAGATTTAATGTTGATCCGAAAAAATTAGACGTCACCGACAGATGGGTTTTACCTGTGGATATTCGGTGGGCGAAGAAGCTGGCTGGCGTGATGGGTACATATTTGGTATGCGTAAAGGTGCTCAGTTATCGGCCGAAATCGGCTACTATCAAGGATTCGCTCATGCTTGGATATCGATCCTGGAACATGAAGATACGAACAAACAACGCAAACTTAATGCATTACATTCCCTATTAGAGATGACCCGAACCTTTCCTCGAACCAACAACCTGATGGAAGATGATGCTGTTCAAAAATTGGCTCGAATCCGTGCTAAATTCAAACAAGTCAATGCATTAATCCTTGGCACATCGACAGCATTTTTCAGTTCATCATTTACTGGTGGTGGTAGTGGTGGTGGCAGCGGAAGTGCCCCTGGTGGTGGTCCGCCAACTGCTAGTCAAGGAGCTGCTACAACTATACACGGTTCTTCACATCACACACATGCACCACACTTGGGTGGAATATATAATCGTGGCGGTACATCCTGTACTTCACAAGAATCAGGCGTCGGCACATCATCATTTCGTGGTGTATCGCCCACTGCAAATAATAATATGACCACATCATGTCCACATCATCACCACCATCATCATCATCAAGTAGCACCGCCACCGAATGTAGAAATGTCATTCTAAACTAAATAATCATAGTGTTAATCTGTTAAGTATTTTTTCTTTTCGTTAAATGAAAGAATTGTTTATTTTCGACAAAATCTCGATAAATTATTCCTTTATTGAATGCAATTGTAATCAATATTTTTTAAAAAACTCACACACTATTGGCCCATTGTTTGTTGAAAATGTTCTCGAGCAATGATCATACGTTGAATTTGGGCCGTACCTTCGTATATTTGAAATATTTTTGCATCTCGCATTAGTTTTTCGACGGGATATTCGCTGTTGAAACCGGCACCACCGAATATTTGTACAGCATCGGCAGCGCATTTATTGGCCACATCACCGGCTAGACATTTGGCGATGGAAGCCCAATATGTATTACGACGGCCATGATCGAAATCGTATGCGGCACGCATGTAAGCCATTCTAGAAGTGGTAATGCCTATAATCATATCGGCTAACATGAATTGAATGGCTTGATGGGTAGCAATCGGACGACCGAATGTTGTTCGTTGTAGTGAATATTGTGTGGCCTCATCGAGAGCTCGTTGCGCTAAACCGACAGCACCGGATGCGACTGGAGGTCTTGTAAGATCAAAAGCACCCATGGCAATACGGAATCCTTTGCCTTCGCCGACCAGAACATTTTTCTTGGGTACAACTACACCTTCGAATGTGATGCCACGTGTGTCCGAACATCGTTGACCCATATTCCATTCTTTACGGCCAATGGTAACGCCGGGTGTATCAGCTTCGACTATAAAACCAGTGAATGCTTCTGAAGCTTTAGCTTTTGGATCCGGATTCGAGCGTGCCAGAACGAAGAACCAGTTGGCATAACCGGCGCCAGTGATCCACATTTTTTGTCCATCAAGTACGTAATCACCATCAGCATTTTTTGTAGCTTTTGTTCGAACACCGGCTACATCGGAACCAGTACCCGGTTCGGTTACAGCATAGGCACAGATCAATGGTTCAGCAGCACATCGGCCAAGATAATCTTTCTTTTGTTCATCGTTGCCGAACAAAATAACCGGTGCCTGACCCAATGTATTGGCCGATAATGCAGTACCGACGCCTGTACAACCATAGGCAATCTTTTCAGCAATCATACAATGATCTAACAATGGTAATCCCATGCCACCGTATTCGACTGGTAAAGTTTCGGTGACGAGACCAAGTTCGTGAGCTTTTTTGAATATTTCCATTGGAAAATCACCCGTTCGATCGAGTTCGGCTGCTTTAGGCATTACCTCTTCCTTGGTGAATTTTTCGGCCAAATCCAGCATACTTTTTTGATCTTCAGTTAGTTCGAAACATATTCCACCTTCACTAGTTTCATTTGAAGTGGAAAAACGATTTCGATTGATTGTACCGAGAGAAGGATGATTCACTGTTCGAGTCAATCGAATCGTTTGTGATAACGCAGACCTTACCAGATTAAAAGCCATTATCTTTTTGTTTGATCAATCAGGAAAAAAATTAAAATCAGAATGAATTTTATTAAGAATCGAGAATGATTACCTTGTTTAATTAGTGTTTACTATGATGTTAGTCGGGTACAAATGTAGGACTAACTTAATTCGTGCGAGCCTAACTTAATATTGAATAATGTACTCAATATTGTTTTTCTTTATATAGCCACACATGTATCACTATCGATGATCTTATACATACAATCGATAGTTGGTCCATTTATTTAGAAGATTCATGTTACGATTCATTCGCGCGCGAATAAACTTGAAACCATAGGATTGCGCAATCCGAAATTTATGCAAAAAAACTATGGATTGTTTCAGGTTTGGTAGTGGTTCATCACAACACTATTCCAGGGCCACTTCAAGCTGTTGAGCGAGTAATATGAGTGCGTGTTATTTATTTTTTATTTTTTAAAATACAACTTGTTGCATGAAATAATAACAATGTAGTGATTGAACAGTTCAACAACTTGATTAGTTATTACGATTGTATTCGATTTATTGGATAAGATAATGTCATGTTGAATGAATAAAGCAAGCAATTTGAGTTGAAAAATCATCATTTTTGGCTATGTAAATTGGATGTAAGTCATCCCCATCATCGGTTTGTTTGTTTTATTCAAGTTTGAGTTTTGATTCAGGATTCGAATTGAAAATGATTGAAAAACAATTTCGTATCCAACGATTACTGGAATCGTTAGAGTCAAAAATATTGCTCATCGATGGAGCCATGGGAACTATGATACAACGGCATAGACTCGAAGAAAAAGATTACCAAGGTTGTCTGTTTGATGAGCATTCGTGTCCAATGAAAGGAAACAATGATATATTATCACTCACTCAGCCGGACATAATCTATTCGATTCACCGGGAATATTTGGACAGTGGTGCCGATATTATCGAAACAAATACGTTTAGCAGTACTTGCATAGCTCAAGCTGATTATCGTTGTACGGATTTGATTACTGAAATGAATTATAAATCGGCGAAAATTGCCCGTAAAGCTGTGGAAGATTTTATGGATGAATATCCAGAAAAGGGTTACAAATTTGTTGCCGGTTCATTGGGACCGACAAATAAAACATTGTCAATATCACCTCGTGTGGAAGACCCGTCATATCGAGATGTTGTCTGGGATGAATTGGTCGATGCTTATCGTGAACAAACTCGAGCCTTATTGGACGGTGGTGTCGACATCATACTAGTCGAGACGATTATCGATACGGCTAATTCGAAAGCGGCGTTGTTTGCCGTACGATCTGTGATGGAAGAACGACATGAAAAAGATATTCCGATATTTGTTTCCGCAACCATAGTGGATAAAAGTGGTCGAACATTGTCCGGCCAAACAAGTGAAGCATTCATTATCAGTACATCACATGCCCAACCGATGGCATTCGGATTGAATTGTGCACTTGGTGCCGACGAAATGGAACCATTCATTAAACGGATTAGTAATTTTGCTAGCAATACATTCGTCATATGTTATCCGAATGCAGGTTTGCCAAATGTTTTTGGAGAATACGACGAAACACCGGAAACTATGGCTGCACACATTGCTCGATTCGCAGAGCAACGGTTGATCAATATTGTGGGAGGTTGTTGTGGTACTACTCCCGATCATATTCGAGCTATTGGCAAGGTGGTTAAAGATATTGAACCGCGAAAGATTAAAGGTTCATACAAGCAATTTTTGACCGGTGCTACTTATCTGGCCGGATTAGAACCATACATTTTTAATGAAACAACTTTGTTTGTCAACATTGGTGAGCGATGTAATGTGGCCGGTTCGAAACGATTTGCCCGGTTGATTCGTCAGAAAAAATATTCGGAAGCGTTACAGGTTGCGAAAGAACAGGTGGAGAACGGGGCACAAGTGTTGGATGTTAACATGGACGAAGGAATGATAGATGGTCCAAAAGAGATGGCCAACTTTATGAATCTGATCAGTACCGAACCGGAGATTTGCCGTGTGCCAGTCTGTATTGATTCATCCAAATTCCAGGTAATTGAAGCTGGCCTAAAATGTTCGCAAGGAAAAGGCATTGTCAATTCGATTAGTCTGAAGGAAGGTGAAGCTGATTTTATTGCCAAAGCTAAAGTGATCAAAAGTTTTGGATTTGCTGTGGTTGTTATGGCTTTCGACGAAAACGGACAGGCTACCGAAGAAGATGATAAAGTGAAAATTTGTGTCCGTAGTTATCGATTATTGGTGGATGAATCGATAGTTGGATTCAATCCATGCGATATCATATTCGATCCAAACATTTTGACTATCGGTACCGGAATGGAGGAACATAATTTGTATGCGATCAACTATATCAACGCTTGTCGACGAATTAAACAGGAATGCCCCGGTTGTCATATAAGTGGTGGTGTATCTAATCTTTCGTTTTCTTTTCGTGGAATGGAACGAATTCGTGAGGCAATGCATTCGGTGTTTTTGTTTCATGCAATAAAAGCCGGCATGGATATGGGAATCGTCAACGCTGGCGCTCTGCCTCCGTATACAGATATCGATAATGAACTGTTAGAATTATGCGAGAATATTATCTGGAACCGATCATCTGATGGGACTGAAAAGCTTTTGGAATATGCTCAGACACATGCTGATCAAGGCAAAGCAAAAGTGGATGTTCAGGATTGGCGTCTCGAATCGGTGGAGAAACGATTGGAACACTCGATTGTGAAAGGTATCGATAAATACATCGAACAAGATGTAGAAGAATGTCGACAGAATGTGGAGAAATTTGTCCGTCCATTGCATATTATCGAAGGACCGTTGATGAAAGGAATCAGTGTTGTGGGCGATTTGTTCGGTGATGGAAAAATGTTTCTGCCTCAGGTTATTAAATCGGCTCGAGTGATGAAAAAGGCAGTCGCATACCTGATACCGTTCATGGAACAAGAGAAACTGGACAATCCTGATTCGCAAGCCGATGATCATGTATCGACGGTCGTGATTGCCACTGTCAAAGGTGATGTACATGACATTGGCAAAAACATTGTCGGTGTTGTACTCGCATGTAACAATTTCAAAGTAATTGATTTGGGTGTCATGACACCATGTGAAAAAATTATCGAAGCTATCGAGCAACACAAAGCCGACGTTCTAGGTCTTAGTGGTTTGATCACACCGTCATTGGACGAAATGATTTATGTGGCAAAAGAATTGCAACGTCTCGACTATCGAATTCCGTTGATTATCGGTGGTGCAACTACATCAAAAAAACACACAGCAGTGAAAATAGCACCTCGATATGTTGGTCCAGTCATACATTGTTTGGATGCATCTCGTAGCGTTATTGCCTGTGCGAAACTGTTGGACGAAAACAGTAAAGATGACTATCTAGAGGAAATTGGAGAGGAATATGAAGAAATTCGAATCGATCATTATGATTCATTGGCCGATCGAGTCTATTTAAAATATGAACAAGTTAAACGCAATAAATTGATGCTCAAATTTGATGCGGATGTGATTAAAGAACCAACATTTCTGGGAACCAAAGTGTTTATCGATTATGATCTTGGCACGTTACGTCAATATATTGATTGGAAACCGTTTTTCGATGTATGGCAATTGAGAGGCAAATATCCGAATCGAAATTATCCGAAAGTTTTCAACGATGAAACAGGTAAAATAATAAACATTTGTTGATGAATTAATTACTATCTCGCTTTGTTTTTCTATAGTGGGAGCTGAAGCTCGTAAAGTTTTTGATGATGCTCAACGTATGATTGAACGATTTATCCTAACCGGTGAACTAAAAGCAAATGGTATTGTCGGATTTTATCGCGCCAATTCGATTAATGATGATGACATTGTTCTTTTCGATGAAAATAACAAAGAAATTGGTCGTCTTTTTGGTTTACGGCAGCAAGCAGCAAAAGATAGTCAGGACAATTCGCCATATATTTCGTTAGCTGATTTTGTGGCTCCACGAGAATCGGGTTTTACCGATTATGTAGGGTTGTTTGTTGTGAGTGCTGGTTTCGGTTGTCAAGAACTTTGTGAAAAATACTTGACCAATAATGATGTTTACAATGATATTATGGTAAAAGCGGTTGCCGATCGATTGGCCGAAGCATTTGCCGAACATCTCCATGAACGTGTACGGCGTGAGCTCTGGGCATATGATCCGAATGAACAATTTGAAACGAGCGATCTTTTGAAAGTGAATTATCGAGGAATTCGACCGGCTCCTGGTTATCCATCACAGCCTGATCATACCGAAAAGATAACCTTTTGGAAAGTGATGGATGTTGAACGGCAGACTAATATTCAATTGACTGAATCGTTAGCTATATGGCCATCGGCATCTACCTGTGGAATATATTTCGCTCATCCTGAGTCTAAATATTTTGCTGTTGGCAAAATTGACAAAGATCAGGTTGCCGATTATGCCCAACGTAAACAACAACCGATGCAAGAAATGGAAAAGTGGTTAGGCACTTCGTTAGCATATTCATAACTAAGAAAAAATGAAACTATTATTTTAAAAGAATAAAGTAAAAAAAGTTTTTTTCTCTCTTAACATTAAACTAAAAACGGTGTGTCGAGAATACCGGCACCTGATACAACTCCGGCTTCTTTTTCGCCATATATTTTTGATCGCAGTAAGTGTCCTGCGTTCTGGTTGGATACAATGTTGTTGCCATTTGTTTCGATCAATATGCTGCCATAGATGCCTAATTCACTGTCGACTGAATGATAGGGAACAGTGTTGGAAAGCGTATTTGATGGCAGTTGTTTTAATATCAATAAGGATTCAATTGGTTTTTGTTGGATGAATTCCATAAGGAAATGGGCATCATTATTGTTTTCGTTGTTGTTGAGCATTCCGTCCAGTTTGTCAATAATTTGTTCACCGAAAACATTGTTACCGCCACCTTCCTGATTGGATTTCAGAACAAATCCGGACGGGTTTTTCACAACCATATCACGACTCGATTGAGAGATATTCCAGAATTTGACGTATGTATTGAATAATTGGTCGGCATTCGGATGGCAACAAAAGCGATCGAAAATGGTTCGATCACTGAGCATTGGTTGAAATTGTTTGAAACCAGCCAATTGTAATTGTATGGATGGACACTTGATTGCACGTGATTTTTCCAATAAAAGTCGTAATTTCCAAGAATTTTCGTGCCGAAAACAATTGGACGAATATGCTGTTCGAAAATAAACCACAGATATTTCTATTTGCATACGGTCATTATCATGATCAAGGGTAAGCAAAAGTTGTTTGTTTGGTCCAAGCGATATGATTCCATTGTCAAGTTGACAAAATGAGCGTCTATAGATTTGCACATAGGGTTTTAATTTCCATTCGATCATTTTCTGATCCATGATGTTTGACTCGTTTTCCTGGACAACAAACAAAATGGCGGCTGAATCTGCATTAGGATAAAGTCGATGGGCATCGATCAATGATTGTGCTACACGATCCAATGAATCGTTGGTTGTAATATGTTGATCAATCTGATCATCACTAAGACCTTGATAGTGTTTGAGCGTGTAACGATGAAGTTTTGTTACTTGTTCGGTCAAGGCACAAAAACCACTGGAAATGGTGTTTACTTCGACTTGTTTCAGATTTCTATGTTTGTCGATCATGTAATCGGATCGGAAAATGCCCAGCTGATGTGAAGCAGCATAGCCTTCTTTCATTACGGTTTCATAGATGTTGAATAATTTGACTACAAATTCATCGGGTAATTTGAGCAATGATTGTTCAAGAAACTGATGATTTATAGAAATGTTATGAATCAATTGATTTATTGGTGGCTGTAAATTTTGTGCCCGTTGAAAGATTGACCGTTCTATCGGAGTTGGGAATAAAGTAACCGGCAAGCAGTACATGGATCGTCGTTCGTCCATGGGAATCTTACGGAAACAGATTCCCAGCGATAAAGCATAAAGTCGTACATCATCTTCCACATCGATCCAATTGAAACGTTTGTTCAATTTCATTACCATGTTGTTGTTGCTACTAAAATTGTTGGTTGAGCAAAAAGTGCGTGTGCATATCGCGATATATATAGAGGGTGCATTGTATAAACAGCGAATGTGATCAATACATGCATGCATGTGATTATTATTCATTTGCGATTAGATGATTTTTGTTTGGAATAGAATTTTCAGCTCGGTTATGGTCGGGTCGTTATGGTTACTATTTATATGTTTAAGGTTTCATTTGCTAGTTTTTGTTGTTGGTGGTGGTTTTGGAAAATCAACGACAAAGCGATTCATCGATGTTACGATACATATTAATTATTACCGTCATATTAATAGTGGCCGTTGTATTTAATCAACGATGTTTGTTTCAATTACTTTATTCAAATATCATAATAATAATTATTATTCATTACATTTACAGATAATAATCAAAAACAAGAAAGACGTCGAATGGCGATTCCTTTCGAAACACCATCGACGTCAGTAATGCTAAATGATGATGATGATGATGATGATGAGGAGGAGGAGGATAATTTGAGACAATTAGGTATATCCGAATCACTTATAACAGCCAATGATGATGATGTGAACGATTTGGATGATTATTGTCATACCATTTGTCAGCTACATCAATGTGTTACTGGCCGTCAGGATTTACAAGGCGAGAATCAATGCGTGTGTTATGAGGATGATGGTCAACAACGGTGTGAAATTCAATCTTAGAATCTGTTAGTTTGTTGAAAAAAGATGGTCTAATAAATTGTTGTTATTATCATTGTTGTTGATGTATGTTGAAACGGCTGTATGTAAGACATTCTCGAAGAAATACATAGATATCATCGGGAGGCACACCCAATCGGATTAATGTCAAAACGTTTCTAGAATCATAATGGAGTAGTAATGGATTGATCACCAATTTATTATACAAAGTAAACTTACCTAGCAATCTCATGAGGCAGATTTACATTAACAGTGCGAGCTAGGTCACAAAAAGTAACTGTCCAATCGTTTGAAGTTGATCGATTGCGAGAATCTGGACTGGAAATTGGACCGACTGATCTGGATCGAGCGGAAGCATTCATTGAATTTTGGCCGATAAATGAGGAGGATAGACATTCCAAATTATCGTCAGTATTATTAAGATGAGACATTGCTCAAAATTGTTTTTTTTGAAATAGCTTGGTTTTACCAAACAATGTCAAACTATTTCTCGGTTGAACTTAAAATCACACTATTTCATGACATGTAACGTGATTGCTCAATTGCTCAAATAAAAACATTCGAAACCGTTCATAGACAATGTGGCTCGTTTATTCATTATTTTATTGTAAAAAAATAACATTTAGTTTTTTTCAATTAAGTACATGGTCGATTAATTAAATAGGCAACTAAAACAGCAAATATCAGAATGATGATGGATAGGATGAAAAATGTGGAAAGGGTTAATGGAAAGTTTGATCTGTGCACCGTCGATGTAGGGAGTAAAAAGTTAAAATCTGATAGACAACGCAACAATTGAGGATTATATTCGATGAAATCATTTGGATAAGATTCCAGATACTTGTTTACAATGAGCAATGATGTACTTTGATACGAAAGACTGAGATTATTGAGTCGAGCTGTGTATGGTGTACAATTGGTGATGAAATTATATAATGACATTTCCACACGACAGACAAAATCAATGACCATATAGTAACAAGTTGTGGTGTTGTAATCTGAACAATATCGACCTTTCATCAGCCATGAATGATTACAATGATGACAGTCCAATGGATTATTATAGATTTGTATCATTGTATAGTAACGGAATAATGGTCGAAATGTGTTTTCCTTCAGAAATCGAATCGAGTTGTTTGTCAGTCGTAGTTCGATCGAACAATTTATGTTAAATGTATTCGGACTGAATGATTCGTCTGTCAGATTATTGTAACTGAGATCGATGAAATAATGAATGTCTCGACAACGATATGAATCACAACATGGTTCACCTAACGACAGATTCAATGAATTGGCTGGCAAATCATTGATGAGATTTCGACTCAAATCGAGTATTCGTAGAGATTCCAGTGAATTGAATGTATTAGAATCGATTTGTCGAATTTGATTGTTACGAAGATCAAGACGTGCAAGTTTCGATAATCGATGAGAAGAATGGGCGAATGCATTTTTCGGTATGAATGGTAGGCCACAATTCTGTATGGTCAATGATTCCAGATGAACAAGATTGGCGATGATTGTGAATAGATTGTTCACAGATTCATCATTAGCGAATAGATTCGGATTCGAATTTAATGTCAATGACTTGGTCGTCGGACCACTGAACAGTTGGGGTTCCAGTTTAGAAAGGTAGTAATTATTTCGTATCGATATGGAATCAAATTTGAATCTGCCAAACATGTTGTTCAACAAGATTTCCAATGACGAATTCTCTATGGCCAGATGTCGGTAATGATAAAAACTATTGTCATCACTATGTGCTGCCATCATCAACGGGACACTGTCTCGAAACAGATACAAAACGTTCATTGGCACCGAGAAGCCGAGTCCACAACGAATTTCGTTGGTAATATCGTTACATTGGCATGGTTCGAATGATTGTCGATCTGGACAGACATTGTACGATGTGATTGAATCTGTGCTTGACGACAGAACTATCATCATGAAGATGATGGTGCTAACGAGCACTTGATATCGTTTCATATTCTGCATGTCATTGTAATTGAATTATATCTGAAATGACCACTGGTCATCGAAATTCAACAAGTGTCAACTACACACTCAACAACAAAATAACATGGTAAACTCAATCGATTAATGGATAAAGTGGCGATAGATGACACCACTGATACATGTAATTTTTATTATCATTAATGTTATTGTATTGTTTAAGGGATATTGAATAAAAGCCATTTCACACACAACCACAGGATTTGGCCACCATGTTATCGAATTTTCGAAGAATAATATTCGATTCGTTGTTCAGATGAAGTATCGATATCGGTGACAATGATATGGTTGCACAAACTGGTCTCGGTACTTTATGATGCATCATTCGATGTAGCTGTTGAATAATGGCATGATTAGTGGCATTCATAGAATCATCGGTTGGAAATGAACAGATTCCGTGACAATAGTTTGCGGAAAAGCCATCCGGTGCGATTACCCATTCGTCCCATTTTATATCACGAAAAGAAACGTATAGTGTATGGCGTTGACACTTATATGAAGCCTTTCCTTTCTCTTGGCGAATCAATTCACATAAGTGGACAAAGTGATTTGTAAATGTTAATCATATACTTACTCAGAAAAGGATATTTCGATTCGGTAGAATTTGAATTGAACAAATCAGCATCATTTCGTCGAATACGCAATTTTTTCCTTAATATTCGTTTTGATGGTGTAAGCAGCATATTTTTGGCATTCAATTTGATAAATGCCGTCATGAATGGTTTGTATTTTTTTGAGCCACGACGATTCACTATCCCAATGCTTTGAAGATTAAGATCTTGGTCTGTTATTACTGTGTTGTTGTTGGACAGTGCCCGAATCTGTAGATAGAGACCAAGATTTTGATCCGGAAATTGTAGCCAATCTATTAATGCCGTGGTAACATTAAATCGTAACCATCCTTTTTGTTGATGATTAATTTGAATTGAAACAATAGATTTGTTCACTATTTCACCGTGATTAGAGACAAATTGTAAAAGTGTCATTTGAAACGACTGCGCATTCGATTTGAGTTGTTGAGTTTCGTTTCGATAGATTCTCAATTCAGCGGCGATGATTTTCGAATCGCTTTGAATATCACTAATGTTGAACCAGAATCGTCGATTAAGTTTGTAGCTTAAATTTGAATTGTTTTGTTGTTTTCGAATTTGATTATTAAAACTGATGACCATATTTGATTTGGCCATATTTAGCAGATATTCGTTTGGAATGAGATTCGAATCCTGAACCGGAGATGGATGACCATTATTGTAAGAATAGTAAAGATTTATTAGGAAATTTGATGCTGATTCTTCGCTTTCATAGTTTTTCGGTCTAGGCTTGTGTTTTAAACCGAATGCAAGAAGCATTCTTTGTTGTAGTTGTTGATGTTCTTGCTTGTCGATTTTCAATTCTATACTTTGTTGCATAGAATCATCCGTATAGAAATAACGTCTTTGCATTGGTTTCTCCGAAATGGTCACATTGTCTGCAATAATCCAGGAACAAAGATTGATGATGTTGATCAAAATCAAAACCGTAGTAAGAATCGATTTGGCTTTCATTGTCATTTCTAGATTGATTGGTGAGGAATGAGATTTGAATTTGAATTGCAAAACGATATTTATAACATGATGATGATGATGTTATAATTTCTGAACAAAAATGATCATTAGCGTTGTTTGCTGATTTTTTTTTTTGATCATATTTGATTGACAATTGATGACGCATCCGAAAATTGTCAGTGTATAATTATTATTCATATCAATCCATTAATTTTATGGATTGGTGATGAGATCCTAAATCATGCATCATTCACAATTCTGAATGATCAATTTAAATGATAAATCCATTAATTTAATGTTTTTTTTTCTCGATTTGATCATGTTTAATTATCAATATTATTATGATTCATCTGTTGGGTGACAAGTATTTGATCTATTTTGAATATTTTAGTTGTTTTTTTTTATTGCACACGATATTGTGTTCATTTAGAACATTTACATCAAATGGATTACTATCTGGATTTTAAATAACAATAAAGATTCATAAAAGAATCATAACTATGATATTATTATTATTATTATTATTTTGATTTATTAATTATACATGAACAATATAATGATAAAATTTATGAAAATTCATTAATTTTTGTTTTTTTTTCTCGTGTTTGATATATCAAATATCTGTTTATATCAATAAAATTAAATCAGAATCAATGTTTGTGAGTGTATTTAAACATTAAAAATTATGCAATATTTTCGGGTTTATTTTTTATTTTTTTTTTTGTTTTTGTTGTTGTTGTTGTTTGAAATCGAAATTATGGCAAAATTAAATTATATTTAATTTATTATTATTATAAACTTTAATGATGGCAATTAATGACAATGATGATGATGATGATGATAAGGAAAAAAAAATTCTAAATTGATGAATTTTTACGAATCATGATGAATAATAATGATGATGATGATGATGATGATGAATCATTGTTTTGACTGTTTTAATTGATTCAATAAACAAAACAATGAATGATGATGATTTTTTTTTCTTCTGTTTGTTAGTGTGATAATTATGCAATAGATGATGATGATGATTAAGTAGGAAAAAAACATGAATAAAAAAAAAGATCTTAAAGAATGAATGAGAACGAATGTGTTTGTGTGTTTATGTATGTAAAAAAAAGCGAAAAAAAGAGGCAGTTTCAAAAATTGAGTTCTCAGAATAAACATTTTTTTTTTGTTGTTTTGTTTCTGTTTCCCATCATTATCTTATAATAACATAAGCATCAAACAGGATATTTATCGGTGTAATTACATTAGTATTTTTTTTTTGTCTTCGTCGTTATTGTTGTCAAAAAATCTAACAAACTTTCCATGATAATGGTCCAACTTTACCGCTGGAAGGAACAGCATTATTTCCAGTGTTCGTACCGAAACCACTTCCAAAGCCATTTGGTCCGAATGATGTTGATGTTGATCCAAAACCACCAGATCCACCATACCCACTACCAAAACCACCGCTAAATTTTCCATTTTCATTCTGATATCCTCCACCTCCTCCACCACCACCACTATTACCACCATTATTATTAGCTCCTACAAAACCGTTTGCAAAACCAGGACCAAATGTAAATGCATATGGACCATGATTATTGGAAGCAGCCGCTGCAGCAGCATGATTTAAATTCGTTAGGAATTTGTTCACCTGTGGTGGAATAAAAGCGGCACCTGGAAAAGCTGCCGGTCCAAATGGTCCCATCATTGCTGTCGGATTACCACCATACGATCCACTTGAACTGAAACCTTGTCCGACGAAATTTCCGGGACCAGAATTATGAAAATTACCAGGATGATTTTTGTTATTATTATTATTGTTGTTGTTATTGATATTGTTGTTATTATTATTTTGAACATTATTATTGAATGGTATTGGATTACTACTGAAAGTATTAGATGCTGAACCAAAATGATTATGATCAAAAGGTGATGAATCCATTAAATGATTAGTATGTTGTTTGTTAACACCAGATGGTGACATCAGGTTTGAAAAACCATTAAATTTGGTATTTTCAATGTTGGCATTATTATTGGTATTGTATGGACCAAATGGAACAATATTATTATTCATATTGAATGGTTGATTACCACCACCAACACCACCATTATTATTGATACTATGCATAAAGTTATCTATATGTTGATGACGTATATCTCGAATCGGTTTCTGTAAATTATTGACAAATGTTTCACCACCACGATAGCCTCCATTATTTGGAACAGTATTAAAATTCGAACCAAATGGTGGTGGAAATATTCCATTATTACCATGAAAACTATGGCTCATATGGTTGTTGTTGTTGTTGTTATGGTTATGATTATTACCATTGTAATTCGAAGTAGTTGATATTGATGATGGCGGTGGTGATGAATCCATTGTCATTGAATTATAATTACTTATTGATGTTGATGCTTGTTTATGAACAGAATTACTGCCAACATTATTATTATTATTGTTCATCATCATCATCGAAGATGTCATTGGTGATTGTAATTTTCCATTATTATTATTATTTGAACTACTACTACTTGAATCTTCACTTTTCTGTATGATAATTACCGGTATAACAGGTGATTCTTCATTAAAATCATGTACTGTATGAATATGAGAAAAGAAGAAAAAACAATTTTATAACAAAAAGTAACAAGAAAACGAATAAACTAACCGGAACTAGATCCAGAATCACCATAATTACCACTGGATGACATTGATGATTCTTGATAATCACCATCATTTGGTCCATTCGAACCTGAACCATAAGAAGATGCTTGTGCATAGCTACCCATATCGTTGTTATTGTTAACATTACCACCACCATGATGATGATTATTATTACCACCGTTCATAACTGAATTATCATCAACAAACAAAAAAATAAAATTATAGATGTTACAAGCCCAAAACTGAAAGATCAATTTCAATCATACCATTATTATTATTCGTTGTTGAACGATGTTTAGCCGTTTTGACAGGTATAACCGGAAGATAAAGAACTTTATATGAAGATTTCTTCTGTCCATTACCATTATTACCGATTATCGGATTATTTTGACCACCATTATTCGAATTAGAATCATAACCATGATTGTTGTTGTTATTATTATTATGATCATCACGACGATCATTCATCATAACAAAACCAACATCATGGCCAGATTTATGATGATCATTATGATTACGATTCAAACGATTATTATTCACAGGATTTCTATGACGATTTTTATTATAATCATTTACATCTGATTGACATTGGATCGATATAGCCAATGTAATGATGACAATGACAATCATCGACAATGAATTCATTTTATGTCGATGTTTATTTGATTTCCTGGAGAAAATAAAATTTTTTAGATTCTGAGGCAAAAAAAAATATTTTTGAAAAATTCATCATCATCATCATCATCAATTTCAAAGAAAATGAAAAAAAAATGCTAAATGAAATTATCCAAACAAAATCAATTAATCTGGATAATTTCATTTTTAAATTTAAGAAATTATTTCTTCTTAAATATCGATATTAATAATTTAACAAGGGAAAAAAATTTCAATTCATTTCTCGTTATTGATGAAAGATTGATGAATGAGATAAATCCAATCAATTTAATGATTTTTTATTTTTTGCAAAAATAAAACTTACAAATTCTCTGCTGAAATTCAACAACAATCCGAAGCAAAGAAGAAAAAATAATGTTGAAAACAATAAATTTGTAAAAAATAATTATTAATTTTTTGTCGGTTGCAAATTAATTAATTAATTAATTAATTAATATTGCATCACTCAACAAAAAAAAACAAACAAACAAACACAATCACATTAACAAAACACAAACACCGAATAATGATGAACAAACATTCATCAAAAAAAAATAATAATCACAAACGATTGTTGATTCAGTAATGTTAAACCGAAAAAAAAAACTAAAAGACAACAACAACAATATAAAATTCAAAATTGGTTGTGGGTTTTTTTAAAAAAAACTTTTTGAAAAGATAAAATGTTGAATTTTGTGAAAAACAACCTGTATGATGATGGTTTTTATATCATCACAATTACGATCCAAAGATGTTTGAATGTTTGAATTTGGAGAGACAAATTTTTTTTGTTTTCGGTATCATCAAGCAAAATAACCGTACTTTCTTTCTTCTACCATACTTCTTGATTTTTTTTTTCTCTGGTCAATTTGTGTTCCACTTGTATTTCGGATTTTTTTTCTCTCTCTCTGGCTTTACTGTTTTGGGAAAAGGATTCAATTTTTTTCATTTCTTCTTCTCTGTCTGATTTTTTTTCAACATTAAAATAATTTCTCTCTTTTTTTCATTCAACTAACTAGGATAAATTGAAGGGAAAACAAGACCAAGAAAAAAAAATCGTGATAAATAATCATAGGTTTTTTCGGGGGTTCACTTTCTCTTGATTATTATTACTACTACTATTAATGATTGAATATGAATTAGATGAATTGAATTGATAAATTAAATTATATCTTCTAGTCGATCACGATTTTGTTTTTTATGTTATAATATATTTAATTTTGAAGAAAAACATCCGATCAATTTTCTTTTCTTTTTTGTAAAAAAAAATCGGTAGCCAATGATAAAAAGTGTTGACAATTGAAAATTATTTAACATTTTGGAACAGAATAAAGAAATGATTCAAAAAAAAATGAATGAATGTTTATTGATGTTTACGAGATATAGAATCTGATTTGGAAAAAAAAGATACGAACACGTTTTTATTTTTAAAAGTGAAAAAAAAAAATTTAAAACGGTTCTTTCATTTTAAAAAATTATATAACATTTTTCTTTTATTATGATAACATCACCAATAATAATCATAATAATAATGATAAATTGTCAGCCATAATTGGAATCAAAATTATATAAATCACATCACATTCATTCATTCATTCATTCATTCATTCATTTTTTTACAGACTATTTTGTTGTATTTTATTATATAATGTGTAACAAACTATGTGCTTGATGATGATGATGATGATGAATAACATAAATGTGCTACTACAACTTTTACATCAAATAATAATGAATATAATATGAAAAAGGGAAAAGAAGAATACAATAACAAGAAAAGTTTTTTTTTGTTTAATATTTATTTCGAGGTTAAAAATAACCTCGAAACCAATTCATTTGGCTTCATCATCATCTTCAAACCAATGATGATGATAATAGCTAAAGGCCAGTAAAATGGTAAGGAAAAAAACAAGGATAGTTCAAAAATGCCAGAGAAAGCTAATAGTTGAAAGAGAAAAGTTCTTGGAAAAAGTTTTTTTTAGGCAAATTCTCCTGTTTTCAATATGGATTCATTTGAAAAAATAACAACAATAATTATGTTTAGAATATATTTTCTGGTTAAAAATGTCACAATTTTTTTCAATCTTTCTTTCTCTCTGGGTTTTCTACTTTGTTTCAAGCGATTCATATTCATTAAACAAAATTATTTCATTTTGTTAACTCATTCATCATCATCAACAAAAAAAACATCATTATTGAGAATGCCAAATTGAACAGATTTCGGGAAATAGCCGTACATACATGCACACAATATTTTAATTTATTCAATATATTTGAAATTGATGAAAATTTCATTCTTGCCTACTAAAATTAGGATCTAAAATTATGTCTATAAAGATGATGATGATTTTTTTTGTTGAAAAGAATTCAACGATCAATGATCGAATGATTGATTGATCGATTGAATTTTCTATTGGTGATTTGTTTGATAATTTTCATTTTTTTTCTTACTGTTCATTCTATTCGATGATTATTCCGGTTCAATATTGTGTTGATGAAAAGATAATTTCATCACAACATACACATACAGATAGATAAAGAGACTATTTCGACCCAATTATTTACCAAAATTAGATTCATCTTTTTTTAAATGGGATTGTAACACCTATGAATTAATTTGATTCAAAGGATAATTACAATCTAATAATGTACAAAAATTGAAAAATAAAAATATAAAAAAACCAGAAGCTAAAACATCATTGATGATAATGATAAGAAAAGTAGCGAGAAGAAAAAAAACCGGCAATACATCCGATAATGATCACAGACACAAGAGAGAGAGAAAGAGATTTTCAAAGAAAAATTGATTTTTTTATTTTCTTATAAAATCATCAATATTACTAGGTCAAATAGGTATGGTATATGTGTAAATAGAAATAAAAATGAACAAAAAAAAATAAAAAATTAAATCCATTATAATGTGAAAAAGGAAATATTTTTTTTGCAAATGATAATGATGATAATAAACATAAAATAAATAATGAAAATTTTCGATCAACAGAAATTTTTTGGGAAAAAAAAGATGTGAAAACTTTTCAATCATTAAAATGAAAAGACAAACTGATAACAATAATGTTATCATCAAACACACACACACACAAAATAGACTTATTTCATTATATAACATTATATAACAATCTGAGAAATGTCCATTTTGGAACAAATCAAGTAAAATGAAATCTTTTCTCATTTGTTTTAAAATAATCATTGTTGTTGTCATTTTTGTCATGTCTTTTTATTATTATCGTCATCTAATGAGATTAAGCAAAAAAAAAATATGTAATTTCACACATTTCATGATTGTTATATAAATTTCATCCGTTATCACTTCTTGTTTGACAAAAAAAAAAAAAACAAAAACAAAACAATAGTGAAAAGCCAACAAAACAATTATGTCCAAAAGTTCCTGGCTCGTAAGTATAATCCAGGCTTTCTCTAATAAGTTAACCTTGTCCTGGTCATACCAATATTTTTATTCATTTGAAATTAAACTATGAATATTGGATTTGAAAAAAATGAAAATAAATAAAATCAATTGAATTGTTGATTAGAATTGATCGATTTTTTCTGATCGATTTTTTCCATTATATAATAATCATCAGAAAGAAAAAAAAACTCTCGATCTTCAAAATGTTCATTTTTTTTTCTCAATTGAGTTTTAAGATTTTTTATATTTTCAACTTTTTTCTGCATTTGTTGTTGTTAAAGTTAAAATCAAAACTCTAAAAATGGACACACACAACAAACACAGATTCGGTCATCATCATCATCATCGTCGTCGTCGTCGTCCATCTCAATTTGAAGAGAGATTGAAGTCAACATTACACACGAACAAACAAGATGATGATGATGATGATGATGATGATGATGAAGAAAGGAAAAAATCTCCTAAAAATAGCCCGATTAGCTGATTGTATTCGTTTGTCCATCTTGACCATCCATCCATCCATCCATCTATCCATAGCTATATACCAATGGAAAAAAGTCTGTTCGAAACGAGATGGTCAAAAAAAAAAGAAAATGTTTGAAGAACCACCAATGTTCGTTCAATCATCATCAATTGTCTGCCATTAAGTAGGTAGTAGTAACAACAGCAGCATATTTGTTTATAATGTGAATCTTTGTTCAAAAAAAAAGAAGAAAAAAAATCAATTCATTTTATAATTGTAATGAAAATTTAAAATGAATTTTGTCTTGTTATTTTTCTTACTTAATCTCGTAGAATAGAAATTAGCTTGTGACAAACTAAATAAATAAAATGGAAAAGACAACAAAAAATAAAAACAGTGGCCGGTTTTAAATCTCATCTGCATCTTGGATTTATCGATCAATTAATCTTTGTTTTTTTTTGTCATTGTTAAATGTGTGACATATACATAGAAATTGAATAATTGGGGACATTGATCATCATCATCAATACGATCTTTCATTCGTTTTTTCTTTTGTATAATTATCAAATAAAGAAAATAATTTTGGTTATTATTGAAAAGATTTTTTTGAAACCATTATTTTGATCATCAATTTTTTTCAGGTATCGCTGTTTGCGTTTGCGAATACATTTGAAAATTTTCACACTTTCACTCTATCCAGTTTGTCTGATTATAATCAAAATGTGTAGAACTATTTTTGGTAAATCTTTCGAAGAAAAAAAAAATTGTTCAGATTCACTTTTTTTCTTCTAATTGAATTATAAATCTGATTTGATATAGGAAAAGAAGAAGAAGAAGAAGAAGAAATATGAATAAAATTAAAAATGAATTATTATCATCATTTTGAAGAAAAAAAAGCCATATCTATATATATTTATAACGATTACAATCATCATAATAATCATCAACAATCATAAGATCAATGTGTGTGTTTGTGTGGTGTAGAAATAGCGAAAAATGAAGGTTTGGTCAACAATTTTTTTTCACGTTTGTGTGTATTTCTACTTTTCAATCAATTATCATTATAAATATAAAAATAAAAATAAAATTTACATAAGAAATTTATTTGAATTTCATAATT